CTATATACTGGGCTGTGTTCTAGGTGCTTTAAAAACATTATATTATTTAATATTCAGGCTGAATTGCAAGACAAGGAGTATAGATGCCCACATTATGGACGAGAGCATTTAGGTGCACCCAAGTAACAAGACTGCCCTGTGCTGCGGAGTAACTAAGGGACAGGCTCAAGACAGCCTTATTTTGTGTGATTCTAAAGCTCTTGCAACTTTTTTCCTTCACACTGTCTTATTTTTCTCCTCATCTAGGAGCATATATTTTGATGTAAGACAGTTTCTCCTTTTGTTTCATACTCACTGCCCTCTGATGCCCAGTGGTAGAAGGTTTGTAGGTTTTCCCAAGGTCAGAGACGGCAATGTGACTGTTCTGTGTCTACTGTTGTTGCCATAAGGAGTCCTCAGTAGTTCTTTCTTATATCTGCTAAGATGCCAACATGCAGGACACATTTAGGACAAAGGCTACAAATGATATTTTACTCTCAGTGGCACATATCCATACCCACATAACAAATTTGCTATTGACAGAAGACACCATAGACACTCGAATCTTGTTAAAGATGGATTGCAGCCCATTTCTTAGCTCTTATTTTGTCTGCCTGCACTGTCATCGTCCTAATTGGTCTTATTCATGCTAGGAACACAGATTGACTTTCTCCAAAGTCACAATAGTGGTAGACTTAGTTTCTGAGTGCTTTAGCAAGTCAGTACATTGAACATTTATGGACGACAGGAAGAAGTTAACTGACCACTGTGAAGAGATGCTTCAAATAATCCCGTGTTCTCGGCTTTACTCATGACTTGTGGATTGTGGTAAGGAGTGAGAAGAGATTTTCCAAGGAGATTTCTCATTCGACATACTTGGATAGATGAACTTGTGTAAGATTTTGATTTGGGATTTGACTGAGTTATCTAGCTGGGAACTATATTCATAGAAACATTTCTTGTCTCTCAGAATGTGTCTGAGTCTCTGCAGGAGCTTATGAGCCTTTGAAACACACGAGCATATAAATTTCCTCTTCAGCTTTTACCAGAACAATGTAGAATTTGAAGGCACAGCTTCTAGATGCTGGTATTGCTTCTAGGGTCACAGTTCTCCCTCTGCAAGCTGCTGTCATCAGGAAACAGTTAGGAAGCTTTAACTGACAAACTTTGTGAGACTGTGAGCAGTATTCTGGTTATGGAAATCCTCTTTTTTCTTCATAATGCCTTTGGTGAGGCCGATCAAAATGTAAAGCAAATGGCTCAGGAATTTGATATCCCCCCAATACAACTGTTTAATATTTTTTTTTGCTTTATCATTTCCCAAGTTTAAAACAATGTTAATGCAATTAAACATTGTTATAATTAGAATTCTAATTAAAGCCAGATGTAAAAACTTGCACCTTATAGGACTACATCAATGACTTTGCTTTTGTCTTTATTTATCAATTCCTTCTTAGGTGGCTAGTTTGTTCTAAGTACTTTGAAAAGTTGTAAACTTCCCCAGATCATGTTTGTGATAGGAGCTTGTGTGTTAAATACAGCCTACACTCACATACTTTTTTTGTCTTATATACCTTGTAATAATAAAGTATCACAACCTATTTTAATTCCATTAGTGTGCCCTTTTGGTTAAGACAAGACCTGAAATGTTCAGGAAACTGTATTTTTCCTTCTAATTCAGAAGGACACTGAACATCAGAAGCCACTTTCTTCTCATTAGTGATAAGAAAACCTGCAAAACACCAAGACACTAGATTTACACACACACACACACACACACACACACACACACACACACACGTTGCCCGTTTTGTGCTCTCCTAGTCAATTTGAAGTTTACCAAAGCACAAAGGTATCTCCACGGCTTCTCTGCCAACTGAGCTCCTTTGGCCTTAGACTGATTTAATATAATATGCATGGTCCCCAGTGTTGGCTGTTGGGTAAATTGTTAGGATCTGGCTTTAGGTTCTCTCCCTTTGGGAGTGTTTGGAATGTAACAACTGAACACTTTTGGATATGGACTGAGATTTGGCCTCTGAGTTGGCTCTGTGATCTTTTGGCAGTGGTTGTTGTATAATTGCAGAACCAGTCCCTGAAAAAATAGCTTCCCTCTGAATATATCCAGCCTTAATATTACAATGCCCTCTGGCCCACTTGATAAATTCTTGGATTTTGGAGCAGAAAAGGAACTTTTAGAAACATCTACTGAGTGAACTCTACTTTAGGAATGAATATAAGCAAAGGAATCAGGACTATTTAGCTTTAATCATTTTCACTGATAACTTCATTCATCACCTGGGGATTCACCACCCTTGGAAGGGTAAGATTGACAAATGTTTACCAAACAAGTGAAACTATAAATAATAAAGTCACACAGAATGACCTACAAGGCCACACTTTTGATTGTACATAAAGATTTGACGGAGAAAGCAATAGGAGGTGGATTGTCAATGATGAGTCAATATTTACCTCATTTACCAGGCAGGTTGAAGAGATGTCATCCTGAGAAGAGCGAATGGCAGTCAGGAAAGAGTTTGGTCACTTGGAACATCTTTGGAATGCAGGGGTGACTGACACGTGGGGCTTTATAGGGAGGAATGGTGAGGAATGGCTGGTTCTTTATCATGTGACAATGTCCTTGGGGACAGCCCATACAGAGCGAGTCATTCAGTTAAGAAAAAAGGCAGGAGTCTGTGAATTATGAGCATAGTAGAAGATGCTGTAGCTGCTCATTTATCAGACAGAATATTCTAGGTCCGGGATGCCCTGAATCATAATAACTTATGTGACATATTTGTGGGAGAAAAAACAAACTCCAAACCGTGGACTGTGAACTGGGCTGTGAACAGTGGGATGGAACCAATGCTGAAGGACTCTTTAATGTTACTAAGCAGGAGATTTGTGTGATAACAGTGTTTATCATCTTTTTCAACAGTTCCAAATAAGTTTCACTCATTAGTTTAACAAATTTATTGAGTATACAACCTATGCTAGGCACTGTTTTATGTACCATTTTTAATAGGATTTCCAATTTTACTTACTGAGAATTTACTATGCACTTGTAGACAATGGGGATAAAATACATGACAAAGAGAAAGTCCATGGAGTCTCCAAGCTAGCGGAGGGGACTGTAGTAAACCTGATAGGAGGGCAGGCTGTGGTGAACAGACAAAAGTTGTATGGAGGCTGGGAAAATTTAGAGGCTGAAACCAACTGGATGTATAACATCTGAAAGAGCTGGAGCTTGGGGATCAGTGATCACTGCACAAAAATGTAAGGGAAGAGATTCTTTTCTGCCAAAAGCAAATAGAACTTGGAATGGAAAGAATAGAAGGGCGGAGTAATGAAGAGAGAAATTCACCTCACTAGAGTGTTGTGAGTTTGAATATTGAATAACTCTATCTTTGGCAGAGTGACGTGCGGAGTTTACATGAACTGAACTTGAGATTTTGGTGAGACATTCCAGTAAAGCTGTTTCTTTCTATCAGTGGGCGCAGAGTCACCTGGGGAATGTGACACAGATACAGGGGTCCAGGCCCGGCCCAGTTCCTTCAACTATGCGGGTCTCTCTGTTCTTTAGTAACTCACCGGGTGGTTCCAACCTTCCAGAGTTTGAGATCACTGGGTTGGATAATCAGAACTAGAAGTAAGGAAAGAACAATTGAGTTAAGGGCTGAAAGTGTATGTTTTGGAGGTTTAAAAATGTTGTCAGTTAACACTGAGGGGCATAGGTCAACCTTCCCCTCGGGAGGGTGAAAAAGCAAGAAGTAGGAGCCACAGGATAGTGAGTGCTTACAGATAAGTTGTTGATGAGAAGGCAAGCACGAGTGTGAAAGGGAGACGCACAAATTACTCGGCAGAAGGGGAAAATGCAGACAACTGTTTCCCTTTAACTAAAATGTGGGCTGCATGGAGACAGAAGCCTCAGGTTACCTTATACTGGCATGATGCCCAACACTTAACAGGTACTTAATATTTTTTTGTCTAACAAAGTGATGTATGATGATCCATGAATATCTAACAAGAATTTTTTTTTTGTTTTTTAGTTTCTAATAAGAATTTTTTGGAGAATGCAGCTGGTCATATCAAATACAGTAACCGGAAATCAAAGGAGGCTAAAACCTAAGGGACTGCTAGTAGATTTAGTCTGAAGGAAGCTGTTGATATAAAACAAGTGGGGTAATTAATTTGATGCAGTGAATTTTGGCTCTGTAGATATTAATAACATTTATCCTGAGCTGCAATAGGGTATATACACCTATACACACATTAGCATAGGTATACGCATGTCTATGTTGATATGCACGCACACATGTAAAAGTATAGATTTCTGCTCTAGGTCTTTTATAGTGTCTGTTGGTCTGCTGATGTCCTGTGGCTGCTTCTTTCAGTCTGTGAGCCTTTGGGGACAAAGTGTGTGGCAGAAGTCTCCCAGGTTGTAGGAGGCTGTCTGGGAGGTTGGCACACAGCAAAGGCAATGAGATGCCAGGGACAAGTCCCAGGCAAGCTGGATGTTCCATTTGCCAACTTCAGATTTTCAGTGATTGCTTCCAAGAAGAGAGATAATATCTAGAGACTGCATAAAGTTGCAAAAACTTATTTGAAGAGGTGTCTGAACCTTATAAATGCTTACACATATTTCTTTTGAAAGGATAGACCTTTGTCTGTTAGCCAGCTCTCTGGGTCCTGGAGGTTTGGAGATGAAACACACAACGTTTCTTGTATTTGGAAATGTCATGCCCAACTAGGCCTTAATGAAGATTCATTATGCTCTTCACACTATTAAGATGGCTATGTGAAAAGGACCCATTACTGCTAATGGGCGTTTACAGGCCCTTGGAGGTGAATGAGCACTGATAGAATCTACATTTAGACTTTCTTCAGCCACTTTTATTTAGCTGTAAGTTTCCAATGATTATCTTTCGTGCTCCAAATGCTGTTTTACATTGATGGTTGGTATCTGGTGATGGGTCTGAGGTTATAACTTTAACAGGTGTAAGTATTTCTTTCCTCTGTTTCAGCTGAGAAGTTTTGAGAGTGAAATATTCAGCCATTAAGGGATCTGCAATTTAATTTGTCATCATGCTTATTCTGTAGTTCACATTAAGTCCAGAGTATTGAAGGAACTGAGTAAATGGACTCCGGACATCGGATGGTTGACAGAGTGTTAACCATGGCATCTGAGGATGCCCAAACCTTCTTCCAGCCTTTCTCTTCCTGGATATCCCGGGTCTATGAAGTTCTCCAGCAAGCAGGAGATACATTATCTGCTTCGCTGGTTCATTTAAGCAGAAAAGACTCTAAATTGCGTGACAAGCTAGATCAGGACGTAGATGATATGCAGATTCAGGAAGCTCGCTTTGAAGATGAAGAACAAGGCAGTGATTGGAACCAAGAGGATGCAAATTCATTGTTTCTTGAAGAGGATCATTTCTCATGTGGTAATCATGATTTTCAGGACTCTGCCCAAAATTCAAGCCCCAGACTTAGCCAACACGCAAAGGACTCACGTTCTATAACATCCAAGTCATCCAGTCAGACGCTGGATGGCCCGAAGCCCCCGTATGTGCTTTCTTCTATTGCTGAGGAAGAACATCACCTTGGAAAACAAATATGTGGTCCTCAACGTGGCTTTGACCTTCAGCTCCCTGGCACTTTAGGAAAAGAGAATGGAATAAAGCAAGGTAAGCCGGCCAGTACCATCTTTCCTGGGTCCTTCTAGAAGCATTTCTACTTATTTTACTTTGGCTTCTTTTTAGTTATCGTAATGATTTAGTTTTTCTTCTCCTTATACTTCCCCTCACCTTCTGATGGAGAGATATAGCTCATAGGAATATTTCCAGTATATAAAACTTTAGAAGACCCGTGCTTGCGGGCTCCATATTCCAAAATAATAGCTTTGAGCAAGTGAAATGCTGAAAATAAATCTGTGAATTCTGTTTGAGAAGCCCCTGTGCACATGTCATGCTTTTTAAAATATCTTTTAAAATGTTCTTTTTTTCCCTGCAGGCTAGGAATTTCTAGATGTTACTATATTATTCAGTGTGAAATCCTGTGCAAAGAGCTGTGGTTGCTGCAGAATTTTTAGTTGATAACACTCCAAGAACACTTCTCAGTGTTTCACCGTGAAGTGATGTGAGATGACAGTAGATAGGAAATCTTTGAAACAGGGAAAGCTTCGATTTTCTTTTAGCCTTTCATGATATGGACACATTTAATTAAAGCTGTATGTAAATCTTTATGCTGTCAGAACTGAGCATGCATCGGGCCTTCAGTAAATACATAATGATTACGATAAACATGTAACGAGCTCTGTAACAGTGGGTGTCACGTGTTCCAACACGGATCGCCCATGTTTCCAATGCCCGAACCCGACGTGAGGGCGTTCCACTTGGGTAAGGCACAGGAGCAGACGCTAAGCAGAGAACGGGGTCGGGATGTGCAGGATCTGTGGTTGTTAGACACGTAGAGCTCACAGGGTTCTGGGTCATTATGTGATACAGTCGTTAGTTCTTCTTGTTGGAGGGAGCAGACTTTTCTGTAGCAATTCGTAGTATTTTCATCAGTGTTTCGGTCAAACCTCTTAGCTTTGTATTTTTAGGGAAGTGTCTTATCTACACACATGAAATCTTGGTATCAGAAAAATTAATTTCATATTCCTTTTAAAGTTTTCTCTTTCCTTCCCTTCCGTCTTCCCCTCCCTTCATTTTCCCACTTTCTTCTTGTATTACCTAATGTGGTACTGGGATCAAACCCAGAGCTTTGCATGTTTTCTACCTCTGTGCATGCTAAGCATATTTTCTTTCTATGCCTGGGCCCCTCACCTTCTTTATAATACTTTCTGGATGCTCTTTCTTACTCAAAATTAAGCAGCGTGGCAATCCTATAATGAATTGGTGAAAATGAAGTAGGCTGATAGTTTTTATGAACCTGGTGAAATATAAATTTTTGCAATTTTCTCTGAAAATTATCTGTGAGATGATTCAAGAAATATTCGGGCCATCAGTGGAGTTTTTAGGTTTAAATTGAAATTTCTATCTCTACTTCAAAAAATTCTTGCCAAGTTTGAACTGTATTTGAAATGAACATGAACTTAGCTTAATAGATGCTTAATACGAGCCTTGTTGATGTTTGTAGTTTCGAATGGCAGTGAAATAGTTTGTGCTCATTTGTCGCTCAGCAAGTGTTTGTCTACTGAACTCAAGCTGGAAGGTAGGGAGCACACATCGACTGGTCTCTGCGTCCTTAGCAGCAGTGCGTGCAGTGTTAGGGTCATAGTAGGACGTCACTCAGTGACTATCGGTGAAACAGTGTCAAGGGAAGCTCACAATTCTAGAGGTAGATATTGTTATTCTCACGTTGTAGTTGAGAAAAAGGGTGCTTAGAGAGTTTGAGAACATTTGGAAATCCACATTTGGAAAGAGACTGAGTTTAGACAGTCTGAGTTTACACATATGCACAGATTTTCTCTTTTCTACAAGTATGAATTACATATGATAAAAATCATCCTTACTGTACAGTTCTATCATTTTTGACAAATAGGCTCGAGCTGACTAGCATTCTTAAAGACTAACTCAGTTGCATTATCACGGAAAATTCCCTCACATCCTTCTGTAGTCTGTCCGTTTCCCAATCTCCAGCCTCCCACAATTACTGACATTTTCGGTCTTTTTCCTCTCATCTCTTTTAGAATGTCATAAAGACGGAATCATGTGGCTTGTAGCCTTTCAAGCCTCTCTTCTTTCACTTCTTTCACTTACTGGGTATTTGTGACCCATCTACATTACTGCGTGCTCCAGGACTTTGCTCGGGGTGAATGCACCAGTTTGTTGATTGGTTCATCAGTTTAGGAATTTCTCGGTGTCTTTGGTTTTGTTTGATCAATATCTATGATTTCTTTTTCTTGACTGATTACCTTGGGCAGGACCTCTGTTGATGTTGAGTAAGAGGGGTAAGAATGGTTACACCTGCCCCGATCCTAAACTTGGTGTAAAGCCCTTCAGTCTTTTATTATTACTTAGTTCTTAGGCAGAGGCATAAATACCTTTATACGTTGAAAGATTTCCTGCTATTCCAGTTTGCTGAGAACTTTTATCAAAAATAAAGAATGTTGAATTCGGTTAAATATTGTTCTGCATCTATGGAAAGGATCATGATGTTTCTTGCTTAATATGTTGCAATGAATTATAGTTATTAATTTCTAGATATTAATGCTTAGTATCGCCTAATATAACTTGCATAAAATCTACTGGACCATGATATACTATTGTTTGCATATACTGCTGAATTTAATTTGGTAGTGTTTTGTTGAAGATTTTTAAAATGTATTATCATTAGGGAAATTGATCTGCAGGTTTCTTGTTATGTCTTGTCTGGTTTTGGTATCTGGATAATGCTAACTTCATAAGATAAGTTATGAAGCATTTTTTCTTTCCTATAGTCCAGACAAAATATGAGTAAAATTATTACTATTTTAAATGGTTGTTAGATTTTTTTTCAGCAAAGCCTGAATTTTCTTATGAGAAGGTTTTAAAATACAAATTTATGTATATACAATTTCCTTCCTATTATTATTTTTTCTTTAGAGTACTGTGGACCCAGGGCCTTCATGCTGAGCTACATGTCCAGTCCTTTTACAATTTTTGTTTCTGCTACATAGCCTAACATGGGCTCAAACTTGCGATCCTCCTGCCTCAGCCTCCCAGAGTGACTTTCTACTCCTCTTTTAATGTGTGTAGGATTTATACTGATTTCTCTTTTATTTCCTAGTATTAGTATTTCTTTCTTTTTCCCCCCAGATTCATTTGGGTAGAAAGTTGACTATCAATTTGTCTATCTTCCCCCTGCTAAAGAATTCATTTTTGTTTTCATTAATTTTTAAATTTACTTTTGTTATTAATTTCATTGATTTTTGTTATCATTATAATTTTATTTTTTGGGGTTGGGGATTTAGCTCAGTGGTTCCACCACCTACCTTGCAAGCGCAAAGTCCTGAGTTCGATCCCCAATACCCCCCACAAAAAAATTTATTTCCTCTTTTTGCTTTGGGTATAATTTGTTATTGCTTTTCTAATATAACTCAATGTATAAATTTTCCTGTAAGCAATACTTTACTTGTGTCTGACAAATATTAATGTATGTGTTTTTATTTTCATTTTCTTGAAATATTTTATAATTTTTCTTTTGACTTTAGTTTCCTCATGTAACCTATTTAAAATTGTATTGAAAGTTCCATATATTGCAAGGCCTTTAGATGTTTTCCTGCGATTGGTTTCTCCCTTATGGCCTGATCATGTCGTACTGATTTAGTTTTGAAAGTTAATTAAGGTTTGTTCTGTTGCACTGAATATGTTTTGATATTTTAAATGTTTCACGTGTATTTGAAAAGACTGTGTGTTCTACTTGGTCAGAATATTCTGTAAATGTAAATTCAGGTTGTTTTTCAGGTTTTCTTTTTTTTTAATTTAAATTGAATTTATTGGTACATTCTAGGTAGACAGTACAGTTACATTCATCACTGGGATCTTGTACCTTTACATGACAGGTCTTGATTCTCATCCCCTTGTCCCCACCCTTCCTTCACCCCTTCTTCCTCTCCCCAACTACAAACACTTTAATTCCATTTTTACATTTTCTCATATTTTTCCCTTTCCCTTATTCCCCTTCCCCTACCCTTCTCACTGTCCCTACACCTTTAATCCTTTTCTTCCTATTTCACATTGCTAATTATGTCATTAGGATCTTGAGTACTATTTTAGTTTTTCACACCAGAGAAACTATTCAGTATTTACACATGTGTGATTTATTTATTTCACTTAGGAATATGTCCTCAAAATGTACTCATTTACCTATCAATGAATCTACTTTCTCATTCTTTATGGCTGAGTAGTATTCCATTTTATAGAAAAACCACATCTTCTTTATCTAGTTTCCAACTGATGGGCAAATAGGCTGTTTCCAACTTTTAGCTATTACAAACTGTGCTGCTATAAAGATGGGTGTGTGTATATCACTGTGGTATGATTCTTTTAATTCTTTTGGAAAGATACCCAACAGAGGGATGGTTCGGTCAAATGGAACCTCTAATCCTAGTTCTTTAAGTTATCTTCATATTGATTTCCATAGTGGTTGCACCAGTCTGCACTCCCACCAACAATGGAGAAGGGTTCCTTTCTCCCCACAACCCCACCAGCATTTGTTATTGTGTGATTTCTTGATAGCAGCCATTCTTTGTGGGGTGAGGTGAAATCTCAGTGTTGTTTTCATCTGCATCTCTCGAATGACTAGTGATGTGGAACATTTTTTCATATATTTACTTGCTGCTTTTATTTCTTTGTCTGAGAAGTGTCTGTTCATTTCAGATGCCCATTTTTGAATTGGGTCTTTATATTTGGCGGGGCTGGTTGTTTTGAGTCCTTTATATATTCTAGATAATAGTCCTTTGTCTGAGGAGCAACTGGTAAAAAGTTTTTCCCACATTGTAGGTTGTCTCTTAGTTCTGTTGATGGTTTCTTTTGCAGTGCAGAAGCTTTTTAATGAGATCCCACTAGTTAATTCTTTCTGCTAATTCCCGTGCTACTGAGGATTTGTTCATAAAGTCTTTTTCTATGCCAGTGTCTTCCAGAGTTCTGCCTAACTTATCTTCCAGCAAGTTTAGTGTTTCTGTTTTTATACTTAGATCTTT